TAGAAATCCAAGAAAATTAGATGATTGACAAAACTAGCACTATAATTCCAGAATATTGAAAACTAGCACCAATGTCTATTTATTGAAATTTGTCACCAAAAACATTGACAAAACTAGCACTTTTCTGGGCAGAATTTCAAAAGCAGCGCCTGTGTAGGACTTGTCCAAAAATTGCTTATAATTATTATTTAAAAAATGGAGAAATCAACCCCAATTCCATAATTTAAGTGATTAACATCACGTAATCCAAAGAAAATCAAAGAATAAGCACCTATTTCACAAACTCATTTTCAAAGTTTCCCTCCTTTTCTTTTCTTTCTTTCTTTTTTTTTTTTTCCAACACCAATCTTTCAATACATATATATTTTTTAACATATTCATATTTAATACCTCAAATAAATGTCAATAACCTCTAATTCTAGCTAAACCCTAAACCCTAAACCCTAAAAGAAAACTTAACTCAATATACTTACACTTACCTCTCAAAATCAAATGAGAAATTGAAGAAATGGAGCACCCCAAAATTGAAAACCCACATCTTCTTCTTCTTTCTTCATTTTTTTTCTTCCTCCCTCTTTCTCGATTTTCTCGGTTTCACCCAAGGAAATGAAAGAAAATGGGTCTTATTTCCATTTAACAATTGGACAAAATGAAATTACCAATAATTAGGCTCTCAACTTTGCCATAGTTTGCAATTAAACCCTTATATTTTCATTTAATTTAAAACTTACCTATTTGTTCTTATACTCACAAATTAACCTCAACAAGTACCACTTGTTTATACAAGTCCCCATGAATTTATTTTTTCAACTTAAGTCCTTATTGACTTTGACTTTCACCAATTATATTTCTTGACTTTGACTAAAAATATGAGGGGTGTGACAAGCACTATCTCGACATTGGCTAATAATGGAGATTCAAGTTCTGAGAAGTTATCAGTATCACCCTGCGGTCAGAACAACGTTCCTGAACTAGTCGGGCTACAAAGAAACCACTCTTCGACAAAGGTTGTTGTCAAATCATTCAAGCTGTTCGGAAAGACAATTCATATTGCTGATTCCAATGAAAGTGGTGTGGACAACAGTGATACGAACCAGGGCAAACCAGTTTGAAAGGCTTGATGTTGGATTGTAAGCATAGTATCTGATATCATAGCATGTCCCTTACGAATGCAAGTCGATATTTAAATATTATCTGTTAATCATGATACAAACTTTAGCATGCTGTTGTATGATATATAAATCAATTGGTGCTCTAGTTGTATAATGGTTGTAGGGGCGAATCCAGCATCAATGTTCAGATAGGGCGAAAGTTGACTTTGACTATTGACCATTGATCGTTGACCGTCAACAATCAAAGATCATAATAGCCCGATCGTTTATTAAAATTTGATTAAATAATATTAAAAATTGTTCAATATATATGTAAATGCACTAAAACGTGAAAATTATATACATATGAAAATATAGTTCAATACAACCCAAAATGCTAAAAAAGTATACGACAAAAACCAAGCAAACACTTGTTTGATTTTCTACCATGACATAATGCAATGATCAAGCTTAGAGCAATTCAAATTAAAAGAATTTAAGATATGCTACATGAGCAATTTACCAGCGAGATAAACCCAAGGAACAAAGGTAACAACATCAAGACAAAATAAGTAACCTCAATTAATCACTTGAAACCCTTTAACAAGTAACAAAAACTGCAATCATTTTTCACTACAAGACTAGTTTCAGAGAAACAGAAGTTGAGTGGGTCCTACATAAAAATATTACTGATTTAATCCAACCATTCATCAGCACATATCAATTAATAAACAAAAACCCATAATCTGGTAAAGGAAATGGACAAATCCAATTATTCATGCCAATAAAACTCATAATCTGAAAAACTTAGTAATAAAAAAATAATTATAATTCAATTAATCTGATAATTAATTATAAGTAAAACTTAAGCAAAACCATAAATCTAAAAAACAAGAGAGTGAAGAAAAAAATTAATTACCTTAGACCCACACTACTTGCTCAGCCTTGGTCGTCGGAGATTTACGTCTGACTTTGCACCAGTTCGCATATGGTTTATCGCTCGCACAATCGCGATTCCCACTTCGTAGGCATCGTGGCTGCTACTTTTGCTTTGAATGGAAATATGGAAATGGAAGGAAGGGTTTGCACTTTGGGTCTTTGCGTCTTTGCTGTCGGTTTCAAATGTTGGGGATTTGGAATTTGAGGTGTTGATTTGCGTTGGAGGAAATACCGTGGATGATGGACCAACCATTCATTGATTTCCTCCGTTGGCCTAATGGTCCAATCATCAGCCCAAGCCCCAAAGAAAAAAAAATGTAACTCTTCTTCTTCCTCCCTTCAGCCCTTCGTCTCTACAACTGCCCGTGCGACTACGCCTGCAGCTTGGTGGCAACTGAACATTTTGGTGGAGCCAGCATGCGCAACCGTGGCCCCTTACCAGGTCCTGGCTCCTCCCTTGAATGGTTGTATCACTTTGTTTAGGAACAAAAAACCTGAATCCTAATTTCTCGGTGCGACTTGTTTTATGATGTTATGCTGTATCTCCTCCAACGAAATGCTTTAGTAATGTTTATGCCATGTTTTCTATATCTAGCTTCCCTATACTTTTTTGAGAGCTGAACGTTCGACCTGCAACAGTTTGTAAACTAAGAAAAAGGCGCCAGTGCTTAGAAATGTAATTTGTTTAGTCCAATCATTCATGAAGTACTTGTCCTCTTGAAAAA